CACTATCTGCCATGATGTGGCCCACGGGAGAGATTAATTAATCCATCATTTCCATCTAAATAATAGTTGGTATCAGGTATTCATTAGAGAAATGCAAAACTGATGAGCAAGTTCCATGAAAAAAAAAAAAAAGAAAAACTAAGAATTGGAGAATTTTATTAACTTCCCCTCATTCACAGAGAGAAAGTGGCAAAGCCAGCACTCCTTGCTCTCATGAAATGAGGATATCTATACATTCATGAAGACTGGCTTTGACTGCTCCCCTCTCTATGCAACCACTGGATCACTGAAAATCTATGCTGACTGTGAGAACCCGGCTAAGTTCCTGGGATTCTAAGTTCACCCAGATATTGGGACAAAGCTGGCAGAATCTAAATCGTGGCTATGAAACAGAAGGGCAAAGACTGGAAGACCTCTATAATAAAAATTATGTAATACTAAAGAAAAAAACTGAAGAAGACCTCTAGAAGATAGAAAGACCACCACATTCCTAGATTGTGAAAAATACATATTTTTGAGATGACTAAACTACCAAAACAATCTAGAGATCCAGAGCAATCCCCATAAAATACAAATGACATTCTTCAATGAATCATAAAAAGCAATCCTAAAATTTGTATGGAAGCACAAAAGACCCAATGATCCTGAGCAAAATAAAGAGCTCAGGATCAGACAAACAAACAAAAAATAACTACCACGCCATATGACAGAGCTCTCCCACGTCTGGGTATTTATCCAAAGGAAGTGCAGGGGATGTTATGCTATCTGATTTCAAAATATATGACAGAGCTGTAGTAACAAAAACAGAATGGTATTGGCAAGAAATTAGACACGCATATCATTGAATAGAATAAAGCACTCAGAAACGTACCTGAACATCTACAGCCAACTGATTCTCGACAAAGGTGTCAAAAACATACCTTGGAGAAAAGATAGCCTCTTCAGCAAATGGTGCTGGGAAAATTGGACATCCACCTGTAGAAGATTGAAATGAGAACCTTGTCTCTCACCCTGCACAAAATCAACTCAAAATGTACCAAACCTCAATTTAAGACCTGAAACTTTGAAACTACCAGAGAAAACATAGTGGAAACATCAAGATGTTGGCCAAGGCAGCTATTTTCTGAATAAGACTCTAGAAGCTGGGGAAACCAAAGCAAGAATTGACAAGCTAAAAAGCTTTTTATCAAGCTAAAAATTTCTGCACAGCAAAGGAAACAATCATCAGAGAGAAGAGACAATCTACAGAATAGAAGAAAATCTTTGCCCAGCTATTCATCTGACAGAGGATTAATATCCAGAATATATAAAGAACTCAAAAAAGCATAACATCAAAAGTATTCCAGTCAAAATTTGGCAAATAATCTGAACCAACACCTCTCAAAATAGGAAGTGCAAATGGCCAATGAATATATGGAAAGTACTCAATATCTTTATCCAATTTACGCCAGTTAGAATGGCTATTATTAAAAAAATTTAAAAATATCCTCAGTGATGTGAGTAAAAGGAACCATCATACAGTGTTAGTGAGAATATATAGCCACCATGAAAAACAGTATGGAAGTTTCCTCACAAACCTAAAAAAAGGCCAGTCACGGTGGTGCACATCTGTAATCCTAGTGACTCAGAAGGCTGAGGCAGGAAGATTGTGAGTTCAAAGCCAGCCTCAGCAACTTGGGGACCCATTTAGCAATTCAGTGAGACCCTGTCTCTAAATAAAATACAAAAAAGGGCCGGAGACATGGATCAGTGGTTAGGTGTCCCTAGGTTCAATTCCCAGTACCAAAAACAAACAAACAGACAAAAAAAAAAAAAAAAAACCCCAAAAATTAGTACCATACACATGACAGAGCTATCCACATCTGGGTATTTATCCAAAGGAAGTGAGGTCAGCACACAAAAGAGACACTTGTGTGTCCATGTTTACCGTGGCACTACTCACAATAGTCACAATATGGAATCTGCTTGGGTGCCTGTCATCAGATGAATAAATAAAGAAATTATGGTATTATACGCAATGGAATATTAGCCATAAATAAGAATGAAATCATGCTATTTTCAGGAAAATGGATAGAACCAGAGGACATGATGTTAAGTAAAATAAGCATACACAGAAAGACAAGTATAGCATGTTTTCTCACATATGTGGAATCTAAACCAGTAAAGAAAAGATGGAAGGGGATAGAGCAAGGAGGGGAAGGGGAATGAGGGGAAGGCAAAGAGGATAGAAGGGAGGGAGGACATGATCTCACCAGTTTGTACAATTAACACCCATTAATAATTTTAATAGAAAAATAGAAGATACTTACAAAGGAAATAAATTCAAATAGAAGAATGTTTTCACCACAAAAAAATTATAAATGTGACTGATGTGTTAATTACCCAAAGTTGATCATTACAGAACAAATACATGTATTGAACCATCTTATCATGCCCTATAAATATGTACAATTATTACTTGTTATTTAAAAAATTATTTTTCTGAAATAAATATTTCTCATTTCTGAGATATTGTGCCAGTAGGATCCCTCCATTTGCATGTCTTCTTGAATCAAGGGACTTACACAAATTTAGAGAGTCATTGTGAAGTGAGAGAACTCTCTTTATAGGCCGAGAAGTTAAATTGGGATAGACAATTGAGAATGTGAGGGACAGACTCTTTGGAAGCTTAATAACCAGCTTGTCATGATGTCTTCTTTCCTTTTGGGGCAATAATGAACTAGCACTGGCCCTGGCATTATGTGCAGAAGATATCTAAGATAGGCTTGGCCACATGACTGGGCCCTTCCACTGTTGAGGCTCATTTCCATTTTGGCTTTGTAGGCAGGGGACTTAATATTTCTTGTACCATGGGTTTCTCAGTATCTATTTCATTTCAGCTCTGTTCCCAACACCCTCAGAAGATCACCCAATTCTCATCTTAATATGCAAGTAACAGGATAAACTATTAGGTTCTATCCCCACCAAGGAAATTACATGATCCTGAAAGTACCTTGAAGTGGAAAATGGGACAAATTTCTAATAAAAGTTGAAAGTCTAATATACCTGTTTCTAACAAGGCAGACTATCTCTAAATGTGAATATCTGTTTCTCAATAGGTGAAATAGGTGAATGTGTGAATGTTTACTTACTAAATATATGCCCTAATTCACTTACTAAATATGCACCCTATTCATTATATCAAAAATAATAAATGCACCTATATCTAGTCTCTACGCATATGCATACATATAAGCAAGCCCACACATTCATCTCTCTTTCCATATATATATTCTATATATATATACACACATATCAATAACACATATTTTTGTGTCTATACTTTCTATTGTGTGCCATTGATCTGTCTCTTCTGTAACCACTACTGTTTTCATTGATTCTTTTACCTTAAAAAAGTGCTTTCTGATCTAGTGAGGCAAAACTGACCACTTTTTATTACGCCTATATTTTTTTTCTGCTTAGCCACTTTAAAATGCATTTTCTTAGTTTTTGTTTCTCTCTCTTTCTTCTTTCCTCTACAAGTCCTTTATATGTTTGTTGGTTTGTTGTTTTTGTTTTTGTTTAAATAGCCTAAATATCTACAATTAAGCATTCTTGGAATGGGTTTCACACAGCACTCAGGAATAAGAAATCCAAGTGCCTTTGGATACCCTAGAAATGATCGTGACCAGCATCAGTGGTGACCCTGTGTGCTGTGAACTCCAGAGTTAGAGTACAGCAGGGAGCAGGAAGTGAGTTAATGTGCATTCACACAACCACACCCCAATTTATTTCTGGAAAGTACATGTGACAGCTATTCATATACATTGATATCATTATATTCTCCAGGATGTGCCAGACAAAATTATAATCCCAAAGGTGTTCTGTTTTATAAAATCAATAAGAATAGAGGGTGTAATCAAGTCTCCCTTAAAGTCCACAATAGAAACCCAGCCCTTCTGAGACGTGGCATAACTTAGGATGAAACAAGCTAGTGTATTCAGGGGTTTTGAGCCACAATTGCTCTTGGGTGGAATCGGAGTCCTTTCCAGCATGGTTCAGCAATGAGATGTGTTACTTCCTTATAAACAGGTAAAGGTATAAGTTTTGAATAGTTTCTTTTCAGGGTAGATCAATCTACACTCCTGTCCAGTAGATCACAAGTCTAAGGTCTATTAAAGGGTGATTGGCTGAGATTAGATGTGAAGTCTGTGGATGAGGAAGTTATTGTCACACATCAGAGTTGCATCCAGAGTAGAGGCAGAGTTATCACCATGTTTCAGTCGGTCATCACCGACATGAAAGAGATTCCTGCTATATAGGTCATCCTGCCTGGTTGGCATTCTTGTCCGGAAGAATTCATCACTCCCAGCCTCACTGGTCTGCAGTGATGGCATTCCACCCAATGCCATTCTAATGCCATCCCCTCTACCCACAAAGTATTATAAGTATTTTTTCCTTGCTCTTCATCAAAGCCCAGCAATAAAAACAGTGAACACCCACACTCATCTTGCTTAAATAATTTAAATAGCTTGTAAAACCTCTCTGGGCAGTCTAAAGAAGTCTCCTTGCTTACTCAAGGGCAGATTATGATCTATGCGATAAGATTTTGCACTTATCTCCCCCATAAGGTAGTCTTCTACTAGTCTGACTTTCAGGTAGAAAAGAGAAGACAAAATGTGATTCCCGCTGGATTTTGCTCTGATGTCTAGCCCTGGGGAAGTTAAAGCTTTTTTATTCACCCTGAGTAGCCGCTTAATGAGGTCCCTTTATAACCACTCCAAAATGTACTTTCAAAACAAAAGTTAGAAAGCTCTCTGATCCATTCTCAAGAAGAATCTGTTTCTGTTCAAAACCCATCCTGACCTTTTAGTTGAAGAAGAACAAAATAATGTAGTAACAAAAACACAAGTGGCTGCCAAAGGAAGAGAGAGAGGGGAAAAAAAAGAGTTCCTGTAAGGGACTGAAACAATAAATCTCCTCTCTGCTGAACTCCCAAAGGGAGTGTGTGTATTTCCTCCCGTTCCTTATCAGAGCCCCCAAAATAAGTAGGAATGAGCAGTGGCTGCTCACATTCAGCACACCTTTTCCATTTGCTAATAAGGCCCTGCCAGGCTGGGAGGAAATTTTCCCTGCCTTACTCTGAAGAGAGAAGCCACTGTGAGGATCCACAGGCACCATGCAACTGCTTCAAGTGACCACTCTCTTTCTTCTGTTCAGTCTTTGCAGCTGTGAAATCACCCCAGGTACCAATTTGTTATTCTTCTGATGGTGTGGATGAGAAATAACTATGAATGAGCTCTTAGCCTTAGTTTACCTTCAGGGAGCTTTTCCTGAAATTTTGATACAGCGATTCTTTTGCTGAATTGAGCGTGTGGACATTGACTTCCATTGCATGGAGACAGTGCCATAGAGAGAACATTTGCTTTCACTGAAGGGAAACACTTGCTGATGCCATAGACTTGAAGTGTTTGATGAAATCGTAAAGGCACTAGAAATATACAGAAGAAAAATCTGGGGATAGAATGCTGGCTAACATGCACCACTTCTCAAATATGTATTCCTTTTAGACATAAGTCCAGAAGCAATAAGATTGTTATGAATGGCTGAAAGATTGGTAACTGGAAATGTTGCATCACAGATGCTCCCCTATATTAGTTCCAACTGTCTATCAGCTCTGATCTATTGAGAAGTTGGGTACAGCTGCCTAAAGAAAGGAATCTTAATATCTTAAACTGTTGGGATGAGACAGGGAGACTCATTTAGTTAAAGATTATAGAGTTTTGTTACAAAAATCTACATGCATCAAAACATATGCACATATTTTGCATAACATTTTAAGAATATGTAAACACAAAATCCCTGTTGCTTGACTGCAAGTTAAGAAACTCCTATAAAGGATATATATGTATCTACATAATCCCTGACTATATTAATGAACAGTGGCAAGAAATGATTATGTTTGACTCTTAACCTTCCCTGATTAATTCATTGTAATTCTAATTAAATGTAATCAATATTTATTAAGCTCCTATCCTATATTTGGCAGTGAAAGGAATATAAAAATGAGTAAGATGCCCTTGCCTATGGAGGTAAATGTACCATTGGGAGAAATAAACAAGTGATTCTAATACAAGACAGACTTAATAAGTGTGAAAACCAAACTATCATAAAAGAACATAGTTGTAAAGATTGATTCTGATCCTGAGAAATCCTAGGGGGAAAATATCCAAAAACTCAGTTCTAATTTTATTTTGTCTGGGCTCTTTTCAAAAGTTTGTTGCCTACAAAATTCTGATGTATAAGTATAATGTAGGGAAAAAATAAGCAACATCTTATCAATCATTTTTGAGCAACATTTTGTCAATAATTTTTCAAAATATCTATGTAAAAAGTTAAGACAAATTCCACAACATTGCAGAATCACATAGCTTGTTTCCCATGCAATTTGGAATTTCCAGAGTTAGGTTGCAATAGGTATCAAAGGCAGAAATTTTAACTTAGAAGAGTTATTAAGAATCTGACTTTTAAAAATAAAGAATGTATATCAGCTGTCACAGAAATCAATGCGCTAGTGGATGAGTAAAGTCAATCCGCGTGAGAAAGACTGATAAGAATCTCAATGCCATAAAAAGCATGGCTCACAAGTACATGCCAGGTTAATATAAATTCCGAAAGTCTGTGTTAGGCTGCTGGCAGGTCCAGGTCTGCAAGCATCAGCAAGTACAGCATTTTGCCAGCATTATTAAACTCAGAATGGATTACACGTCCTTTGAAAACAAAGTGGAGTAGGATCAATAGAATTAGCTTCCAAAACTTGTCAATAAGGAAGATATGAAGGTGAAGGACATCGCAGAATGGTCTGGCAGATTCTTCCTATTACGTTGGCTTTGGTAAAGCGCCAGCCTCCTTGAGCTCCCTGGTAATGAGCACAACCTTTTTTAAACAGTATCATCTTGCTAATGAACTGTTAACCCAAGGAAGATGGTTTCCCATTTGTGCACACACAAAACTTAAACAATGATTCTCTCTCTCCATTTCTGCCGATAAGCCCACTTATTAACTAAAGGCCAGTGTCTGTGACATCTAAAAACAAAGCAAAACAACAACAAAACTGCCTCATTTATCAGAGAAAAGGAAGTTACAGCATAGGAGCAGACATCCACTATCCATGTGGTGCCTAGAGGGAACTGAAAGAGCTTTTCCCATGGGCACTTAAGTCTTTGCTGCACCTGGCTTGGCCTGCTTTGTTTCCTTCACAGGTCGGGCACAGGAAGTGAAGCATTTCCTAGGCTGATCTAGTAAGTTCTTTCCTTTACTCCCTGTGCCAGGAACACACTGATTCCAGAGCTTCACATGTTCCCCAAACTTAGGATGATTAACACATTCTAAGGTGCAGGAGACATTTCATCTGCCTAACATTCACAAGTTGTCAAGCAGATCCTTGCTTTTTGCATAGTTATTTATTTCTAAATCATAATCTTTTAGAGAAATTGATCACATTTCCTTTCTAATGTTTTTGTCAGTCTCAGATTTTAATAAATACAATACAGGCTTTTGTGTTGTCAAAATCCAAGGACTCTTTCTACATGGCATGAGTGACTTTTATTACTTGGTTGGTGGTATACTATTTTACAATGTCCAATTTGGAAAGCTTTTCTTTTGAAAAATATATATAGGAGTTTCCTGAAAGGAAACTGTCATTCTTTCCTAAAGTTCTCTAAATTGTACTTAAAACTGAACAGACCCCTACAGTGGCATTTAAGCTCCTTTGAGCTTTCAAGTCTAGATTGATGAGCTTTTGACTATCAGGACTGAGAAGTTAAAGGAAGGATGATTCTAAGCAAAAGAAGGTCCTGGAAACAATATGTATTTACTCTTCAGATGCCATTTCTTTTTAAACTTTACATTAATTCAGGAATAAAAAAAAATAGCATTTTCAGACAGAAATAGATTCCCCTTTATTGGTATCTGAAGGAGGATTTAATTGCTTGGAGAAATTCATTTGTTAGTGACTGAACATTCAATTTCTTGAAACAAAAATTGATTGAAGATACTGTAAGCAAATTCTACACTGAATGCTCTAGATTTATAAAAATCATCCTTTGCCCTAGAAGTGGGGAAGGAAAGAAGATAAGCCAAATTTGATTATAGTAAAGGTCTCAAGAGGTGAATAAAGAATATTATGGAAAATTTGCAGCTAGCTTAGTTTGTGGTATAAGATCATCAGAAAAGTCTTCATATAAAACTATAAATTATGAGCTTTTATGAACAGATTTTGTTGAATATGAACATTGAAACATCATAGTATTCTAGTCTGAAAATATAGGGAGGCCACGCGTTGGGCAGAGTTAAGGATTTCCTGAGTATTAAGAAATAAGTTTGGAAAGATAGCAGCAGGAATACCAGGAAGATAAATATTGATTCATATTGCTGGGAGTATAGCTCAGTGGTAGAGCATGCTTAGCATGTGTGCTGCCCTGGGTTCAATCCTCAGCACGATCAAAAAAGAAATATTGATTCATAAAGTTGATTAATTTACAACTTGTAAGTGTGTTTGAGCATGGGAATTGTATGATTGGAAATAAAAATTAGGAAGCTCAATCTATCAGCAAAATATTTGTCTAGACTATTGGAGTCAAGAGAGATAAAAGGTAAAGAAATTAGTTTGTCATTGGAAGTCTGAGAGTATGACAATGAAATGAAAAGAAAGGTCTGGTAAGAGGTTTAAGGAAATAGAAAATGTGTAATTTATTATTTTTACTGCCAATGATAGAGCAGGCTGAAACATAAGAATGACATTACTTTAATATTAGAAATAGGCAAATGGCTTTGGAGCAAAGGAAGGGAAAGGAGGGAGTTGGTTTGGTGGAAGAGTGATTTTGGTTTTTGACATGTTGACCTTGAAATGCAGATAAGATATTCAAGTTGTTTTTTTTTGGTAATAAAACTTACCTGGTGGGTAGTTGGGACACCCTTGGTTTTGGATGTAGTAGGTGATGAGAGGTGTTGAATGTTCTTTAGTTCTGAATCCAAAGAGTTCTTAGTCCTGCTCATTATAGCATTAATAAGAAAGGTCATCTATTTGCTCTCCTTCTTGATGCCTATATTTTTAACTCTCCTATGGCACTTATTTTCCAATTTCATCAGTTATTTGTGTGTCTTATCTCCTTTACCAGATTTTAAGTCCTTTAAGGAAGGTGCATATTTTCTATAGATTGTTTGCCCAGCAAACAATGAATGAAGGTATAAATGAATGAAAACGTGTGTGTGCGCGCGCATGTGCATGTATATATGTAATTTCACTTTTACTTTCATTTCACCTTAAATTCCTTCCCATGACAATGACTTATGAGCTTACTACTTTGTCCTTGTGAAAAGTTATGAACAGGTGTGAATTACGTAACATAGGTATGAGTGGATTATTTTGATTCAAGGCTATGAAAGTGATAACCAAATACAAGGGCATATTGTCAAAAGCTAGTCAGTTCTCAAAACTTGGCAGAAGAAAACACAATAATATTAGATGAACACCTACTTTCAGGTAACAATAATTTTACAACAAATCTGAAAAAAGAAATTGCTGTAACTCTGACCATTGGGAGGGAAAATTTCAAAATAGAATTGACTCTACTCTCTGTTTGGGATATTAAATACTTAATGTAATACTATAATATAGTTAGAAATATTCAGGAGATACCATATTCTCAACCAACCTTAAAACACAAAATGGCTTTTGTTAAAAGCAAAATTCACAAAAAGAAAAGTTGGAAGAAAGTTAAAATAACTACTGCACATCATTACTTCTTGTGTCATTGTAGGTACCGTGAGTTGGCTGCTTCAAAGCAGGTCATTTTGCTTAGTACTTCTGTTTAGTTTAATCTACATCAACATCTCTTAATGTGTAATAGGTGATCTATGGTAGGAAAAGTAAAATAATATGGAACAAAATCAATGGGAAAAGTATTTAGTCCCAAGCCATTTCTTTAGCATTTTTTCTTTACCCTCTCATTTTTCAATGGTCCCTACCTAAAAATAAAAGTGATTATTCTAGAACTCCTATTTATAGGAGATTCAGAAACACATTCACTGTCAGTTTTATCTTATGAACTGTAATTATTCAGAAAATTTAGGGGAAAAAGATGAGCATTTGAGGGTTTCAGAAAGTTTTTAATTTCCTAGATAATTACCCATCTTTTCCTTTTCATTGGTGAAAAGCATTTCAAGCGTCAGGTACATATTTTAA